GGATGGAGAGGGCCAGGAATCGGGTAACATAGTCATCCGTCCTCATGTTTCCTTGTTTGAAGGAACGGATTTGCTGACGCGCCCAGTCACGCTCAGCTTGCGGTTTGAAGTATTTTTCAATCTCTTTCTTGAGATCGTCCCAGGTGGGCCACACTCCCGTGGTGTAGCACTCCTGCAATCTAACTTGGGTGTACTGACCCACCACAGGTCCCTTTAGTCGAGATAGCACCACAGTGGCTACCTCAAAATTGTCGGCAAATGCGTCCCAATTTGCCTTAACCCATATTTGGAGTTTGATCCACCACTCGGCAAATCACGCTCTGTCTCCCTCGAAGGCGCCAGGGTCAGCGACGACTTCAACTTTCTTGTTGAATTTCTTCTTGACCGAGGGGGTTGCTGCAGGGGGATTTGCCTGCAGCTCGGCGAGTTGAGTGGTCAATGTCAAGATCTGTGCACGCATGCTGTGCAACAGAGCATTGACATCCATTTGAGGTTGCGACGACATGTCGACTTGTTCTCTTGTAAAGTAAAAAAAAAGGTAACTGGGGGTCCCCGCTTGCTATCTGCGGATCAACCTCTTCCCAGCTGAGTATCAGATCTCAATCTCCAACTACCCACACTATAGTATTTGAAAGGTATATAAAAGGTATTTGTAATAAACCCTGGTCCAAACGGTTGTCAGGGGGTGGTCTGCTTGTTAGGCTGTCAACCCTTCTCCAGACTGGCGGAGGCAAGTGCCCGGCCCGGTCAGAGGTATTCGAAGAAGAAGTTTTGTATTCTAAAATCTAATCAACAGAGGTTCCACACCAACTGCTGAGCTATGGTACTCCCCTTAATGCTGGGGGCCGCGTATCAAAGGTTTTGGTTCTTCTCCAAAAGCACTACAAGGCCGTCGCTAGGAGTGCACCTATCTGCTATACGGGATATTCCCAACCAATAACCAAATGTCCTTCACCCTGGAGTCTGGGTGCTCAGTGGGACTTTTTGCACAATGTGCAAGAGAGTAGAAGAGCAAGTCCTAATGTAACAACCAAGAGTTAGTTACTCTGGCGCACACAAGAACACACTATAAGGGTAGTAAATGGGGAGTGGTTACCCCTTAGGCTGCAGAGAGTTTGTTGGTATACAACAGGAGGACTCACTGAGGAGTCTCCTTGATCTATTGGGGTATTTATACTAATACAGAGTGTTTGTACCTATGTACTGTACAGTTGATAAAAGCAGTGGTTGATGATGTCAGAGGGTGCAGCCCGTGTGACCAGCTCCACTGCGTGAGAGAGTTTGTGTCTAAAAGAAGAATAAAGGCAGCACTGCACGAGAAGGTGGAGTTAGAACGAAAAGGAAAGTGCCGCATTGCACGGAGTGTGAACTATAGTAAAAGGTTAAAGCGGAGAATGAAAACTAAAGAAAAGGTCCGAAAATTGTGTTATCGTAACACAGGCAGTGTTTAGGGCAAAAGAAGGCTATACCAAGTACTGATAATAACCAAATACCCTTTTCAATTCAAAAGTGAAGAAACCCTTTCCATGGTGTTGCTGTTTTAAATCAACCATATCTCTATAGCATGTGAACCAAATCACATGACCTATGGGGCAATTTTATAGCCAAGAGTGTGTCAGTCTCCTACCCACCCTCTATTTCAAGAGAGGAGGGACCTATCCTAGTGCTTTGATGTTGAGATGATATACAAAAATAAAATAAAAATAAAACACATCACATGACTTGAAAATTTGAACATCCCTCGCTCTCTCTCCATAATGGCTGGAACATAACATCAGTAAGCAATGGTTTGCCACAGTGACGGTGACAAGGATGATGACAGTGGACTCCCAATAAAATATGAATATACAAAAAGGATTGGTTATATCATCATCTACTATATTCGGACACATACGCCTCAAGGTTGGACATTTGATGTGACCACACAGAGCCAACTAGGTCTATATTGTTCCTTGAATTTTTGACTGCGTAGCAAAGGACTGCTTACTATATTGTTCACAATGCCCTCCAAATCTAACCCCTCCGTTTGTGCCCAGTATTCCTCCTCCTCCTCAACATTGATTTCAGCCATTGTGACATCCTCAGTCCCCCTTGAGCTACATCTTGGATTTGAACTGAGCAAGTCACCAACTTGAGACCATAACCTTGGTGCGAGGTCTTGAAATTTGGACGCCATGTCCCGAACACAGAACTCCTCAATCAAGATCGTTCATTGAGCCGCTCAACCTAGTTGCCTGAAATAGAATAAGCATTATATTAGAATATTGATCTGTATTACTTAAGAAAAGGTATTTTATTGGGAGTCCGCTGTTATCATCCCTGTCACCATCACTGTGGCAAACCATTGCTTACTGATGTTATGTTCCAGCCATTATGAAGAGAGAGCAAGGGATGTTCAAATTTTCAAGTCATGTGATGTGTTTTATTTTTATTTTATTTTTGTATATCATCTCAACATCAAAGCACTAGGATAGATCCCTCCTCTCTTGAAATAGAGGGTGGGTAGGAGACTGAGAGTATGTACTATTTATGACTCCACCAAAGCTAAGTACAATTCTCAAGCTATTTGATGGTATGTGTTACAATAACACAATTTTCGGACCTTTCCTTTAATTTTCATTCTCCGCTTTAACCTTTTTACTATAGTTCACACTCCGTGCCATGCAGCACTTTCCTTTTCATTCTAACTCCACCTTCTCGCGCAGCGCTGCCTTTATTCTTCTTTTAGACACAAAACTCTCTCACGCAGTGGAGCTGGTCACACGGGCTGCACCCTCTGACATCATCAGCCGCTGCTTTTATCAACTGTACAGTACATAGGTACAAACACTCTGTATTAGTATAAATACCCCAATAGATCAAGGAGACTCCTCAGCGAGTCCTCCTGTTGTTAACCAACAAACTCTCTGCAGCCTAAGGGGTAACCACTCCCCATTTACTACCCTTATAGTGTGTTCTTGTGTGCGCCAGAGTAACTAACTCTTGGTTGTTACATTAGGACTTGCTCTTCTACTCTCTTGCACATTGTGCAAAAAGTCCCACTGAGCACCCAGACTCCAGGGTGAAGGACATTTGGTTATTGGTTGGGAATATCCCGTATAGCAGATAGGTGCACTCCTAGCGACGGCCTTGTAGTGCTTTTGGAGAAGAACCAAAACCTTTGATACGCGGCCCCCAGCATTAAGGGGAGTACCATAGCTCAGCAGTTGGTGTGGAACCTCTGTTGATTAGATTTTAGAATACAAAACTTCTTCTTCGAATACCTCTGACCGGGCCGGGCACTTGCCTCCGCCAGTCTGGAGAAGGGTTGACAGCCTAACAAGCAGACCACCCCCTGACAACCGTTTGGACCAGGGTTTATTACAAATACCTTTTATATACCTTTCAAATACTATAGTGTGGGTAGTTGGAGATTGAGATCTGATACTCAGCTGGGAAGAGGTTGATCCGCAGATAGCAAGCGGGGACCCCCAGTTACCTTTTTTTTTACTTTACAAGAGAACAAGTCGACATGTCGTCGCAACCTCAAATGGATGTCAATGCTCTGTTGCACAGCATGCGTGCACAGATCTTGACATTGACCACTCAACTCGCCGAGCTGCAGGCAAATCCCCCTGCAGCAACCCCCTCGGTCAAGAAGAAATTCAACAAGAAAGTTGAAGTCGTCGCTGACCCTGGCGCCTTCGAGGGAGACAGAGCGTGATTTGCCGAGTGGTGGATCAAACTCCAAATATGGGTTAAGGCAAATTGGGACGCATTTGCCGACAATTTTGAGGTAGCCACTGTGGTGCTATCTCGACTAAAGGGACCTGTGGTGGGTCAGTACACCCAAGTTAGATTGCAGGAGTGCTACACCACGGGAGTGTGGCCCACCTGGGACGATCTCAAGAAAGAGATTGAAAAATACTTCAAACCGCAAGCTGAGCGTGACTGGGCGCGTCAGCAAATCCGTTCCTTCAAACAAGGAAACATGAGGACGGATGACTATGTTACCCGGTTCCTGGCCCTCTCCATCCAAGGAGGGCTTGGCAATGAACATGCAGTAGAACTGCTGGAGCGCAATGTGAACCCCCACATTGCAGAACAGATCTACTTGCAGGATACAAGAAATGAAAACCTGGCCCTGGCGGCTGAGGAAGTATAACGAGTAGGTAGAGCCATGGAGCTCTACGCCATGCACCAAGGTGGTGGGTCCACCACCAAAAACAACACATCCCAGAGGCGCCCTGGGTCATCAAACCATCATAATCACTCTCACGGGTTCAAGCCGTTTGGGCTGCAGCCAGGACAGGGTGCTCCTATGGATATCGGTGTGGTCCAAGGCGGACAGATGCGCAGATTCAAGGGCAACTGTTACAACTGTGGCCAAGAGGGACACATGTCCCGAGATTGCAGAAACGGGGCGCAGGCCGCCCAACAAAAAATAACCAAGGGCGCCAGGCGCGCCAATTAGAAACCAAGAAACCGGACAATCGGCTTCATTCTTTGGCCGATCGTTCGTACGACGAAATCCGAGCTTTCTTCTATGACCAACAGGTCAATAAAATGAAAGCTCAGGGAAAAAGTTCGGAGCTTAGGTCACTTGGGTGCCTTCGCTCCTATGAACAATGAAGTAAACCACAACAAGGTGGCCCCTGCTCCGGGGGGTTGCACGAGCAATAAAGGAAAGACAGGGATGGCTCCCCAATTTGTAAATAGATTTCAAGAATTGTTATCAGAAATATGTACTTGTATGAAGCATTGTAACTGTAATATTTATGATACTACCGCTGCACCAGCGTTGTCGATGATGAGAACTGTTGTTAGAAAACCACACACAAAAACAAACTAACACACAATCCTCCCAGATTCCACGGAACTTGTTTATGGGCTTTGCCTCCTAGAACAGTGGGTGCTCTGGTTGTTCGTGGGGTGGTATGTATGAAGATCCTTCAAAGTAAAACCCAGAGATGTATGGGTGTGGGTTTTGAGGAGGAGGGATAGTTGAATTTATAGAAGATAGGGGCTTAGTGACGAGTATAGATGAGCACTGCCTTGCTAATTGTAGCACAAGGTAGGTTTGAGAACGACGAGGATGACAAGGTGATGAGGGTTCCCAGTGATAGCAGGCTCGCTCCCTGACGCCACAAAACTGTAGTGCTCAGAAGGACTTCTAATTGAAAGGGATAACAATGACTTTCAAAAGTGGGGAAGTGACAATGACAGCAAATTAACAGTGGTAGCAGTGGGAAGTGTTGTGACCACACTGGATCACAAGTAGCAGTAAGAAGTGGACTTAAGATTAGAGAAGAAGTCTGGAATCGAATTCTTGTTTTTTTTACAAGGTAAAATACAGGGGTTTATATAGTGAAAGAAAAATAGGCTATGCACAGTATAGCTATGCAAAAAGAATGAGAAAGAACATGGAAGAAGGAATGTACGCTGACAAATCCTGCGTAGGTAGTACAGGATAAGATTGTCAAAAAAAGGAAAAGAAAGGGATAGAACAATAAATGCTGTGAGTAATGTCACAGGTTTGTACAGCCATAAAGTAAAGTCCAATAGCAAAAAGAGAGCAGGAAAATCATGATGTCATGGGAAGATGCAGTAAAAAAAGGGCAAGGCAAAACACTATCAGTATCAACACAGTTCCTTTATTGTCAGTCAGACATTCTAAAAAAATATGTGTCCATAAAAATGATTCAAAAATCAAAAATAATCGCACTGTAAATGAATGTTCTGCTGAAAAAAAAAGAAACTGGAGCCACCAGTCCACCACCTAGTCCAAATCCGACGGTTCCATGGCCTTACCAATGGACTGGTTGTGTTGGACCACCTGGTCAAACGAGGGAGGGAGAGGAGTAGTTCCAATTTGGAACAAGTGAGTCCCAGGCAGCATGTGGTAGGTGTAGCTGTAGCGAAGACAATGGACAAAAGATAAGTGTACCCAAGTGAATGGGACAGCGATGAACATGGGCGACACAAGGGGATGAACCTTCTCCAGCTCAAAAACTACCCACCCACGCTCCAACCAGGCAAGACGAGCGACCAATGTTTTGATAGTATATGATGGTAGATCGACGTCATAAAGATGGACCTGTTGCCCTATTTGAACTGGCCACCGGGGCTTTGCTGATATCAGCAGTGGCACGTGGTAGTCGACGGATCGGCGACGGAAGCGGATAGGAAGTGGTGACATCAGAAATGGTGGGGGAGCAAAGAAGATGAGGAGGAGGAGGGTGGAGGTGACCAGGAGGTGAACTAAAATGGGGATCCAGAAACGACCGTCGGGTGAGAATAAAAACGAGAGTAAGGGACCCATGGTAGGGCTAGGCAAAGGAAGGGAAGTGAAGGAAACGACAAAAACGAGGGCGCAATGCAATGTGTAGCCAGTGGCGATGCGAAAATTTGCCGAAATGCCGAAATGCGGAAAGTACCGAATGGAAAGCAAAGGTGAGCGTGACTGGATTGCCTAATAGAGGTGGTGCTGATTAGCCACAAGTTCAAAAAAGGCAATATTAATTACTATTCCACGTGGCACTGTGCCTGTGTGGCGCAAAGGCGAGTCTTTTTGAATATTCACTTTGTTATTGACACCTGTCCATGCTACCAATCAACTTTGGTGCATGACAGCGTCTCCCTTGGAGCATGGCCCCAGCGAGACAAACAATAGGGTGCTTGATTCTGGTAAAAATAAAATAGAAAAACATGTTTCTTTCGATACTTCCTCTTTGTAAGAGCCACCCTTTCCTGAAATCCCAAGGTGTGCGTTGATGCGCACATATTTATTCCAAAAGGAGATCTGTCTAGATGTTGGTGTGGAAAACCTTGCCCGGGGCATAGTACACCCAACCAGTGCGCTGCTTGATTCAGGCGCTAACAAAATCTTCATAGATCAGGTCTGGGCGGAGCAAATTGGACTCCCCCTTGTAAAATTAGATGTATCTATTCCCGTCTATAACGTTGACGGTACGCTTAACGCAGGTGGCTGCATCACGCACAAATGTTCTTTTGTTGTCGAATACCAAGGACACAGAGAATGAGTCACCGCCAAAGCTACCCAACTAGGGAAGGTTATTTTAATATTGGGCTGGACCTGGCTATTTAAACACAATCCTGAGATCAACTGGCAGACAGGGGTTGTCACATTGTCACGTTGCCCTCAGGAATGTGTGAACTTGGGTAAGCCAAATCACGTCCATCACAATGAGCGTCTTGAAAAGATAAACACTGGTCACGTTTATGAGCTCAGATCTTTTGAAAAGATCAACGATGACGATGACAAGGTAAAACCCGAGGAAAAGATTAAGAGGCTGGTACCTCCCGAGTACCATGACTTCTGGAAAGTCTTTTCAAAACATAAATCAGAGTGCTTCCCAGAGGCTAAGCCTTGGGACCATGCAATAGATTTGAAGGACACTTTCAAACCGAGAAAAGGACACATGATTCCCCTCTCTGCTCCAGAAAGAGATGAGGTCTCAAGTTTCATAGATGAACAGCTTAGGAAGGGTTACATCAGACCTTCCAAAAGCCCTATAACATCCCCAGTGTTCTTCATTCCTAAAAAGGATGGTAAGAAGTGTATGATTATGGACTATTGTTACGTGAATGAGCACACGTGTAAAAGGCGTATCCGCTGCGTTTAATCAGTCAGCTAGTAGACAAATTGGTGGGCATCAAAATCTTTACAAAGATGGATCTCAGATGGGGGTACAACAATGTACAAATCAAAGAAGCAGATGCTTGGAAGGCCGCATTCACATGCCACCGAGGATCCTTTGAACCCCTCGTTATGTTTTTTTGGGTTGACCAACTCACCGGCAACCTTCCAGAGCATGATGAACAAGATTTTTGCGGATATGGAAAACTGTGTTGTCATTTACATTGATGATTTGTCAATATTTACGAAGTCGGATGATGAGGCTGAGCATGACAGGATCGTGCAAGAGGTCCTTCGACGCTTACAGGAACGGGACATATTCGTCAAACCCAAAAAATGGAATTTTAAAGTGAAGGAAGTAGACTTCCTCGGTATGATCATAGGCCAGAACGGAATCAGGATGGATCCTGAGAAAGTTCAAGCCATATTGAACTGGCCAGAACCTACTCGCGTAAAAGGAGTTAGGGCCTTCCTTGGCTTAGGAAATTTCTACCGAAGGTTTATCAAAAACTTCGCAAAAATCACGAGACCGTTGAACAATCTCACTAAAAAGGATATTGTTTGGCACTGGGGCGCCAAAGAACAAGAAGCTTTTGATAAGCTTAAACAGGCATTTACCACAGCGCCCATATTAGCATTTCCAGAATTAGACAAAGAGTTCCGGCTAGAAACCGACTCTTCTGATTTTGCTACTGGGGCTGTTCTATCAATTAAATGTCCTGATGATCTTTGGAGGCCTTGTGCTTATTTATCACATAGTTTGTTGCCTACAGAGTGTAACTATCAAATTTACGACAAAGAAATGCTAGCCATCATTAGAGCCTTAGAGCACTGGCGGCACTACTTAGAAGGTGCAAGACACCAATTTGAAATTTGGACCGATCATAAGAATCTGGAGTATTTTATGACGGCCTGAGACTTGAACCAAAGACAGGCCTGCTATGCGGTGTACTTGTCTAGGTTTATTTATAAATTAATTCATAAGCCTGGAAGTTCTATGGGGAAAGCGGACACTTTGTCCAGAAGAGAGGATCATGCCAACGGCATCGAAGATGACAACAAAGGTGTTACCTTGATAGACCAATCAAGGGTTGCCAATGTTAGAATCGAGCAGGATTCCGATCTTCTGGAAGTCTTCAAGAAAGAGATCTCCTCAGAAGAGAAGGCGCGCCTTAATGGCAATGAAAACTATTTATGGGAAAACGGGCTCTTCCATTTTAAAGACAAAATCTATGTGCCTGAGTCCGCAAGGATCAAGGCAATAGATAGACATCATGACACTCCAGTGGCTGGGCACCCTCGGTGGCAACAAACAATGGAGTTGATCTCCAGAAACTATATGTGGCCTGTATAATCTTGGCCATATAGCTCAACTGGTAGTGCAGCTGGCATGTATCCAGAAGGTTCCAGGTTCAATCCCTGGTCTGGTCATTGTCTAATTTTATCATGTTATAATCCATCTCTTCCACCAGTTGTGCCCACCATCAGAATGAGGTGGCGACAGATCAGTGAGTGATGACCACATCAACTACCTATCACAACACAATGGGATCCGCACCCGTGTACAGTGATTCTGGACCTTCTGGGCATGCAACCAATCAGTATGCTTTCCAAGCACGCCTTGGTAGCTTAGTTGGTAAAGCACCAGACCATGAAAGCTGGAGTCCCAGGTTCAAGCCCTGGCCAATGCATGTTTTCTCATACTATAAACAAATGTCATAATTTGTCACTACCTTCCTCCAATATATAGCTGTATGAACAGATCTCACCCATATGCCCACTTTTGTGTGAAGGAGGCACCAATGTGTCTGTGAAGCTGATGCAATTCTGGAATTCATCTCGCAATTGCACTATGGTAAAAGCCCTGGAGTGACTGAAACTGAGATAAGGCTCTGGCACCATTTCCATCCAGCTGAGCATCCAATGACACATGAAGCTGCACAATTAGAAAGAATTAAGATGTTGTTGTTGTAATAAGTTCTTGTCAGCTATCAATATCCATACTGATATTGTTCTCCTTCATCTCTAATATTGAGTTAGTAAATTCAGCAATCAACACAGGGTATAGCACTCGCCTGACAACTTGCCTTAGTAACAATGTGAGTTAGACTTTGCAAATTGTATGCTCCTAACTCATTCCACAAGTGTTCTTCTGTGCCGAGCAATTATCTAAAGGCCCAATATTTTCAGAAGATATGTTTGCAGGATACCATGGCACAATCTCAGTCTCGGTAGGCACAGGGAGTTCAAAGTGGTGTGGTGGATTGGAGTCTTGTCAAGTTTGTGACATAGCTCCAGCAGCTGTGTGATGAGTAATGCACCATCACTCAGCATATGTTCATGCTTGTCCAGCTAATCTAGCAAAGCACCCCCTGAACCTTGGCAAATAAAAAAATACTTATTTTCTGACCTATCCTATATTAATATATGAGCTCCAAAATTAGGTTCTGCAATATCCAGAAATTATGTTTTTCAATTTCTTCATATCGCCCCCTAGTACACTACCATTAGTCTCCACCTGAAATATTACTATTTGTGATTTGATATAACATGTATATTTCACTTGGTACAACCAATAGTATTATACAGTGCTACAACAGTACATTGTTTGACTCAAAGAAACCACCCCCCTGAAAATACAGATCTAAATGTCTTTTTATCTTGATTGGATGTAACAGACCTTGAATTGCCTTGAGTTAAATCCGCTGAGTGTAAAGATGTAAGAGCTGAGGTTGTTGGTTGCAACCAGGTTCCTTCCACAATTATGTTGCTCTCAGACAATGATGGTGTACTTTCATGGTGGAGTAAATGAGGCTGAGTGTGATGTTGAGATAATATGGACCAATTATTCTGAGAGGCAATATTCATGGCTAGTACAATGCAAAAATTAGATTTCACAGCTTATGTTATGATAGTGCAAAATAAACTAACCTTTTCCAGCCCCACCAGTATAGCATGATGTCCATTTAATCCCATGCACAAAGTGCTTATATGATATATGAAACTCAGGTTGAGGAATAACTAGAGTAGTGCGAAAGTCACTCCAGCTCTGAAGACATGATGGTGGTATCCAATACAGAAGCTTTTTTTGAAGTGTAATGCCTTTGAATAAAATCCATCCAGAGTCATCTGGAAAAGAGTTCATGTATACCATGATATCCAAGTCACCCAGTTTATGGAGTTTGGCAAGTTTGGATCCAGTTGGTGATAATGTAACAGCAGTTGAACCATCATTGAGGGCCTGTTGGTCTGCGACTAAATTGGCTACAGGCTGACTAGCAATGTTCCAAATTCTGATAGTTTTGTCACCAGAGCCAGAGGCCAGCTTTAATCCATCTGGTGAAAATGCAATAGATGTGACACTACTACTGTGGCTTATACATTGGCCAATTAGTAGCCAAGAGCCACAGTCCCAGATTCTGATAGTCTGATCTGAAGAACCTGAAGCAAGTTTGGAGCCATCTGGTGAGAATAACACTGATGTGACAATTCCATTATGCTCTAATGGGCCAGCTATTACTTTTCCAGCTATTACATCCCAGATTCTGACAGTTTTATCCAGAGAGCCTGAAGCTAGCTTCAATCCATCTGGTGAGAATGCAATAAATGAGAGAGAGCCCACACCACAATGAAATGGACCAGCTATAAGTTGGCCAGTAAGGTCCCAGATCCTTACAGTTGTATCATAAGAAGCGGAAGCCAGCTTTGATCCATCTGGTGAGAAAGCAACAGATAATACACGTTGACAGTGGCCTTGGAATGGATTAACTAATAACTGGCCTGAAAGCACATCCCAGATTCTGATAGTCTTATCACCAGATCCTGAAGCAAGCTGTAATCCATTAGGTGAAAATGCAACAGAGTGGACACCACTGTGATGACCTTCAAGTGGGCCAGCAACCAGTTCACCAGACACATTCCAGATTCTTATTGTCCTGTCACTAGATCCAGAAGCAATTTTTGTGCCATCTGGTGAGAAAGCAACGGAGTGCACATAACCCTTGTGGCCCTGAAGTGGACCAACCAGAAGTTGACCTGAAGTACTCTCCCATATTCTGACATAAGTGTCATTACAGCCTGAGACCAATCTTGATTCATTTGGTGAAAATGCAATAGAGGTTACACGACTTTCATGCCCTTGAAATAAGCCAGTAGCCAACGGACCAGCTCTTCTAGTAATATTCCTAAGTTTAGTAGTTGAGGGTGAAACAGGTTTTAAGTCATGTGGTGAGGACGCCAAGGATGTGATATCATGATTGTACTCTTCTGGTCGAGCCATCAGAAGGCCAGAGACATCCCAAATTCTGATAGTTTTATCAAGGGATCCTGAAGCAAGCCTTAATCCGTCTGGTGAGAATGTGATAGATCTGACACCACTGTTATGGCCTTGAAATGGACCCGCAATTAGCTGGCCAGAAATTGTATCCCAAACTCTGACGGTACAATCTATGGAACCTGAAGCAATCTTGGATCCATCTGGTGAGAATGCGATACACCAGACATAACCATTGTGGCCATGCAGCGGGCCAACCACCAAATTCCCGGAGACAACATCCCAAATCCTTACAGTTTTATCATATGATCCAGAAGCAATCGTTGACTCGTCTGATGAGAATGTAATAGAGCCAACTCTGTCGCTGTGCCCTTGCAACGGCCGAGTCATCAATTTACCGGAGGCTACTTCCCAGATTTCGATAGTGTTATCAGGAAGCCCCAAAGCAAGCTTGAATCCACCTGGTGATAACATAGACGCCGTATGATCATCATAGCCCTCAAAGGGGCTCGCCGTCAAAAGACCAGAAGCTGTCTCCCAAGTACTGATCTTACCATCAGAGCCGGAAGTAAATTTTGACCCGTCTGAGGAGAACACAATAGAATGCACCCATGGAGTGTAGGTTAAAATCGGGTCAACCAACGGCTGACCAGAAACAACACTCCAAATCCTGATGGTATGATCCAGAGAGCTTGAAGCAAGTATAGAACCATCCGGTGAGAATGTAATAGATGCCAGCGGTTCACTATGACCTTCCAATGGGCTGCTACCCAACATATGTCCAGAGAACACATCCCAAATTATAATAGTGTTATCATGAGAGCCTGAAGCGATCCTCAAACCATCTGGCGAAAATGCAACGCATTTGATATCGCCTTTATGCCCCTTGAGAACATTTAGAAGAGCGGTCCACTTTTTGTCTTTGCCTGAGACAACTTCCAGTGTATTCTGAAAGTGCGGTAGGTATGTCTGGGACACTAGCGAGCCCTCTGGTGCGAGCGGCAGAGCAGATATATAGATATGAGGCACACTCTCCGAAATTGGAGTTTCGAAGTGAGCAATGAATTGTCGAGCATCTTGTGCAAATATCCCCAAGTCAGTGGCAACGTCCTGTGTAAGAAGCAAAAGAAGTTTGTTTTCTAAGTAGTACCGAGTAAACAACGCGCGACAACCTACCAGCAGTATAGGAACTAATAGATCAAGCATGGTCAGCGCATTCCCTGTGTCATGATGCAAGCTCGTCACTTCCAACCAATGCAATAACTGTTTCCTGAAAAATGCCCATAACATGCCCAGAAGCCAATCGCAATCAGACAGACACTTCACTGCGTCAACAAGATGAGGGCCCCAATACCGACATGCATATGAAAGGTGCCCAGCTATATACTTCTTTATACGGTATTCCAGATCGTCGATATCTTCGTTGCGACGGTAAGATGTTTCCAACATGCAGATATTGAACCTCAAGCCATAATTTGGATCAGCCATAATTCGCAAACAGGAACGTAGGAAGTCTAAGTTTCCTGCAGCCGCCGTTTCTCCAGGAATATGGAGTAGCTCTGGGCATAGATCAGACTCCAACAAGAACTCTACAAATGAGAGATGGCTGATCCGAACTGTTCGGTCCTCGTCGATTGTAATCACAGACTTGAAATCTCGCAAAACGAGATCAATAGCTGTCTCTGACACTGCTACTACCATGAAATATTGCAGCTGATCGCGTGACAACGGGACTTTGGCAAAAACTATGCTCCGGAGCAGTGGTTGTAGCGCAATTTGGCTACTTTCATGCTTTTGAATATCAACCAAGGCATGTGTAGCCACCTGGCGATAAAGATTGTTGACATCATCTTGACCCGTGACAGCGCCACCTGAAAGCAACATTGTCAATAGTTCTTCTGGATTTCCCTCCTCGATGAATCGCATTACAGTCTCGGCCCAGATGAAAAGACCTGCTGCACGAGTTGTTAACTGGTGCATCACAGGCGATCCAGGCCAGCCAGCTTGTGCTAACGAAGGAAAGTCTTCTTTCAGTTCTTCAAAACGCGCAGTAAAGAACATATCAATGTCCGCCGATGCTGTAGGTGTCACTTTGTCTCCTGTGGGGAGAACAATTTGTTGACAGACCTCACGGAAAGATTCTGGTAAACGATCGTCTCGGCTCGTGATGATCAACTTCATGGTCTTGTGAAAAGTAGACCATTGAGTGAGGGTGCTGATGAGATTTTTGCGCTGCGGGTTCTTGGATGCATCGCCACACTCGTCCAAAGCGTCCACGACGACAGCTAGATAGCTATAAATAACCAAAAACAATAAGTGAGCCCTTGCAATGGCGACTAACTGCATGATACGTCTGTACCTTTGATCCTGTTGTACCGACTTCAAAGGCTGTTTGATAAGAACATCAAAGTGGTTCTTAATATCAGGCCTTAGTGGATCCACGCGTCCGTCTTTGAGAGCACTGACGATGGCAGACGCGAAGTCAGAATTAAAACGGGCGAGATCAAATGCTACAGTGCGCCAGAGAGAGGCTGGGTTGCTCAAAATAGTATCGCCCCTGCGAAAAGAGAAAGATCCGCCCAAACGACGTGCAGCTCTGAGCTGAGAGACCAAGCTAGATGCGATTGCCGATTTGCCAGCTCCGGGGCTGCCCTTAATCCAAAGAATATTTTTGTGAGCATTGGGATCATCAAGCCAATCATTGATCGTTTCAAAAATGTCCTTGCGGGTGCCCTCCATACACGGTTGAACGTAATGACGATTGTGATCCACCGGATTGAGTTTAGCCAAGATGGCATCGTCCCCAGAGTCCTGGTGCACCGTCGTTATATACTGATTTCCCGATACATCGTTATAAGTGCCAATGTTGGCCACAGAATTTGCTGCAGTTTGAGTAAAGGGCATTGCTGTTGAGTAATCTGCGATTTTCGTAGATGTAGTTGGTGGGAAGAGGGAAGGATCGATGAGCAGACTTCGTACTCCGCTCAGCTACATGATACCGCAATTCATTTCCCGCAGTGTATTAGGCGCACGGGATCCAGTCAAGGCAAGCCCTTGCTCTGTGCAGTATTAGCTACAATTAACACTGTTGTTCTGCTCTCTTGTGTCGAACATGGTGAACGATATCACAAGTACCATCCGCTGGCCCTCGCTCTACAATCCAGGTATCGAGATTATCAACATCGCAATGAGCAACCCCACCCGTACTGGAGGATATTACTTACTTCGTGAGGAGGGTGAGTAGCAGCACTACTTGGGATCAAGAAACTGAGAAATAGTTGTGGTGACAGATGTATTTCGTTTTACGCTCTACTGGACGCTTATTTTTCACCTGCCTTTCTCTTTATTCTGTGGGATATACGCTTTCCTCAACTTCACCCTTCCTCCCACTTCGTCTCCCCATCCCTCGCCATCACATACAGGGCTAGAGTCTTTCCCCCTCATACCTACCACTCCAAAGCCATTGTCTCCGCTTGCTATGCACCCAAGCCCGGATATGGACACGGCCATGAGTACCAGCCCCAATATCCGTCCTTGGTCGCAGCCACGCATGAACGTCCGCCGCTCCCGCCTTACCTTTGCCCTTCTTGTCCTCTTCGCATTCCTCTTCTTCAGCTTCGTGGGTGCTATAATCAGCGCAGCTGTAGTCGGATTTCTCATAGTGGGGGTGTACAAATCAGGCGAATTCTATGTGTCGACGTAAGCTGCCCACACTTTCTCAATATCATAGTGTCATGTACTCCTCTTATCCATGCGCTGTATGCTAACTGTCGTACGTTTACTGGGGACGTAGGTGGGTCCCATTTATATGGGCTATAATTCAGGGTCTAATATCATTGCTCGGGTAAGAGGCGTCTCTCAGCTCTATTACTCGCATCATCCAGTTTGACATGGTTTCACGTAAAAGGATATGGCCATCTGTTATCGACATTATCTGACAAGTCTACTCCATTCGCCTCGTCGTTGTTGTCCTTATTCCACATGTTTATCGCACCCAACGCACAAATTTGTTTCGCACTAGACACATCGACTATAAATCATATACCACAACATAGGACTTTTGGATTTTTTAGAACAGAACGGACAAGGGCATAGACTAGTTCGTGGAGCTTTCAACCATGGGGTTAGACAGATCCGTGGCTTAGGTGCCGAACAGTATGGTATATACTTCAAGCCACCATTGAACGTTAGTCCACCACTCAAGGCCTGTACGTGGGACAGGCCCCTGCAATCTGCAATCGCCGCGCCAGATCATGGACGTCGATGGACATTGGGATATATACTTATGGGCCGGGTTATAGTTAGTTGGCAGAGAACCCCACGGGTTGTAGGAAAGAGTGAAAAAGGCTAACGAGGAATGCCTGTGAAAAGATAGTTGCGACGGTTTGAGTCATGGCATATTTGTATCTCAGCGATGTAGAACTGCTTGTATGGATTATCCCCAGCTTGAAAAAAGGTCAGCACGTCCACCTCATAAGGTTGGATATGCCAGGGACATGACGAAATGGAAGTGAGTGATGCATATCGATGAGTGTTGAATAAATCAAAATCAAGAACAGAAGCCCAAACAAGACTGTATGAACTCGGAGGCATGGTGGAACCTCCAACCGCATACCCCATAATCAGTAAAATCAATTCTCATCTCAGTGTGTCAATAACACCGCACAGCTACTCCCAGATACCAGATTCATCCTCCATCTCTACCTGATTCCCACCTGTACAAAACGAAATCAAATCGGTCATAAGACAAACTACTACCAAAAATAGCAACGCATACCTAACAGATCAAATTGGGTCGTATCGCCCGCGCTCAGGAGGATATCTCGTAGCGTCACGCTAACCCCCTCGTAATACGGTTCATCGTCATCTCCATCGTCTGTCCACATCTCCTGCCTTTTTCCTTGACGTGGACTCGAATATTTGTGCTGGTCAAGCGAAGTAAGGTCTGAAGGAAAGGAAGGAAGGTCGAGTCCCTCGTCCACCTTGAATGAAGCACGTGGAGCAGTGAAGGTCTTCGTTTTTGCTGTCGAAAAAGGAGTGCGAGACGCCAACCTCGTCGCCGTCGGTCGAGGAGTGAGGTACCCGTCCACCTCGATGGACGAGTCGTCATTAATAGCATCTACAATCTATATCATGTACAAGGTCATCTTAGTGTAACATACACTTCGAAAAATCTTACCCTATCAACCTCCTCGCTTTCAGTATCCTCGCCTTCGCCCTCCATATCTGGATCAAGATCAAGATGGAGACCCCCGAATAGCGAAGGCCTCGATGCCACAGCGAGCGACGTCCGGATACTCTTTCTCCCTCCTTGACCACGTTGAGTGGCAAGTACTCGGCGCACGTATGCCGAGCGCGGTTTCACCGTCTGTGGAGGGGTAGACGTTAGCAGCTGACGTGGTGTCTGCGGGGGTGACACATGGGATATGCTATTGGAGGTCGAGCGTGGGACTGCATTGTGCGTGGTTAGGGGTGCGGCGGTAGGAGGCGTAACATGCGAGTCTGTGGGTATCGTTGGTCTAGGAAGACGAGAAGGGGCGCTTAGAGATAGCCTAGGGCGCGATTGTTGAGACAAGGGAGGCGGAAAGACGGGAAGGAGCGTGTCTCGAACTTCATCTATACGCCTCTCCAGCGCGTCAGGGGATGCTGGGCACGAAAGTGAGAATGTGGACAGAAGACCAGCAGAAGGTGTTTTCTATGAATAGAACACGACTCCATATCGAAAAAAATAGAGATACATAACGAAAGACTTCACCTTTAGATCTAGACCGTGTTGCTGGCCGTCATAATTGTTTGTCCAGAGATTGAGGTTAGAAAGACGAGCTTCTGCCCCACATGCACCACGATCGAGTCTCCGTAAACCGTTATTTAGCTTCTCATTCTCAGCCTTTGCCCGGGAGAGGGAGTTCTGCAAGGCCTGGTTCACGCGCGTTTCTTCGTCGAGGTCGCTGGAAATAATGATAGACGCATGTGACATTGCACTCGATTGGGCTTCGTTACCGCTAGACTTCTCAAACGCAGCTTTCTTGTTCTTCTTACTGCCAGAAGCAAATAGATCCACAGATAGTTTACGGATATTCTGTGGATGGTGGGCAGCAGCTATAGGGAGTGGTTGAGGAGGAATTTCGGTCGTCTGTGTTTACTTTTTGAGTAAAGAGAAAAATTTGAAGGGTGGACAAGATATACCTCATGAGAATGTGAGTCTGTAAGGCGTGAGTGTCTCGAAGCAGAAGAATTAGCAGCTTTGTCAGATGACTCTGTGGAACGTGTGGGCTCCAAGCCGGCGAGTCTCAACAATAAATCAATAGCTTGCTGGCCATCGGTACTGGCCCAGAATTCGACGCTGAGATCGTGAAGCTTTGATTCTGCTAGAGCAGACTGCCTGTCTGTAGACAGTGAGCTGTACGTAGATTGCTTATTCACATGTCCCCCGATCAGCCGATCCTGATGTATGCATGAGTGTACCAATCATAAATAGCGAAAGAGAAGGGAAAATATACACGAAGAGACTTGATGCCGTTTTGTCGCTGAAGGAGGAGTAAAGCGGCTCTGTCCCATGTTTTTCGGTTAGATTGCGCTGAAGATAAGAGGGATGCGTATGCCGTTGATTGAATCTGAACTGAGTCCTGTATTTACGCACAGATTATATGACCGGTGCTCCTACGGCGTAAGGGAGTTTGGACGTACCACAGTCCCCACAGGAAGACGGAAGGATGATGGGTAGGACTTGAATAGCGCATGGGTCGAGAGTGACAACAACAGACGTTCGAAGCTGAAATTTTATGAGGTTTGGGAAACAGTGGTTAAAATATTTGTAAGACGAGGTAACCTACCGCTCACCAGAGCACTCCTCGAGGAGAGACTTGCGCACGACTACGTCCTTCCACCACCAGGCAGACTCTTCCTCTGAAGCGTTCACTGTACTTGTCGAATTTTTCTTAACCGAATCTGGATTTGAGCGCAGGGAACTGTGTCGGAGATTCTCGAGATACTTGGCGAGCGATGTACGAAAGGCTGTCGTATCCGATGGTAAAAGACATGGATATATGGGCAGGATCTGATCATTCACGCGTCAAACGCGGTCTTCAGTCATTCAAGCCAGTGAATATAATGAAGAGCGACATAACTCACACGTCTGATGCTTTCTGGATGCCCTTCTATCCTGTTGACCAAAAAGTAACCGATGTCCTCCATGGTCTTGGTACGCTCGCGCAATCCTCGATGACGGGGATTGAACATATCCTGGTCGTATTCTGTGTTATTCGCATGAGGATATCCAAGAATGTGGAGATGTATGAGAAGAACGAGAGAAATGGGTAATGGTAATGCACTCGGAGACGCCATGAGACCAATAGAGTCGACGATGGTGCGTGCAGGTGGAACTGCAAAGGGTGGCGTTGACATATTTGGAAATATCACGGATATAAATCTAACCCTTGACACACAAATCTACACTGAACTCGCAGGGGGACAAGTACATCAGTGTTGACAAGGCCTCTAGACATACGTATGCTAATATTGTAGTATTTTATGATACATAAGAATGAGGATCCCAACAAGCCTCGCCTGAACAAGTGATTTCTCCCCCACGTGATCTGAGCGCGCCCCCAAGTATTAGTCCCCATCGCGTCCAAGGCATAATGTTACTCCTAGACTTACACATCCATGTCCCAGAGAAGAGCCGCAGAAAGCTCCCCTTCTGGTATAAGGGACGACGACGTGTTTACCACAGACTACGCATCTTCCCCCTCATCAGCATCAGCATATACCTACACCTTAACTTCCCCTCCTCCAGGAGACGATTCTGACAAAGGAAATGTGCCAGTCCAAGTCCAAAGATCCAAAACACTTCCCACAGAGATCATAGACTACATCTTCTGCCTTTATCTGGGTGTTAACATCGTTTTTGCCGCTATCGAGCCTTTTTCGCGAGCTTCATCTCAGTTCAGACAGATAGCCCTTCGAAGATTCTTTTCTGGTATTCGTGTCATGTCTAGAACCAAACTGGATGCTTATAAGGAGATGCATTCCCTCATGGCCAATAATTGCGAAACACATCAAGACGTAGGGTTGTCTTGGGTAAAGTATGTCTAGAAGTTGTACATGCGCATATAGCCACTCACCCGATTGCAGATCCTTCAGAACCTGGTCGCACGTCCTGTCTGACCGTCACTGTTTTCTTTCTTTGTGCAAAAATCTTCGACACCTTTTAATCTCGTTCGACAGAGATGGACGGGGGACCCAAAGAAACCGCGTAAACCGTATCTTTTCAATCCCTCACCCGACAACACCATTTCCAGCGACCTTGACGACCTTGACCGTAGTCGCATTATCGCGCATCGATGGTCAACTGCTCACCTCAATTGCCAGTGTGCTCCCGGCGCTCACAGTTCTTCACCTTAGCTGTACTGAAAACTTGGACATATCGTGCTGCTGGGCCTGTTTCGCGGAGAGCGCAAGTGCCGTGGTCCACTCACCGATTCCTAATCACTTCACTAATATTAAAAAACTGACGGTGCGTCAACGACCCGCTTTGCGAACTATGAAGCTAAGCACGAAGATGATCTAGGGCGAGTTCTCAACAGCCTTGAAGGGACTCACCAAACTAACAGATCTTCACCTGGGCATATTCCTCTCCGATGAAGACTTGATCAACACCATACTCGATGATTATGAAGATCTGAGAACTTTCAGACACACTCTACGCAGTGTATTCTTCCCTGACATGGGGCCAGGATGCGACTCAAGCATCAGCCAATCTAGTGACTATGAAGACACGCCCACATTTCACGAAAACGATAGCGAAGAACATGCGGCCTGTGGCGAACCCCTTTTCAAACATGACTCCAACCAGTGTCCTGTATGTCGAACCCTGGCTTCAGCTCCAGCTATCAGAATCCGAGAGCTCGAAGCTAGTCTAGGCCTAGCCCAAAATCTGAAGTCGTTACGCACCGTTGGCTGGAGCTCCTTCTTTTCTCGCTTGTCAGTCCCAGTAGAGAAGCGCAAGGGAGACTGGGAGAGAACAGTAAAGTTCCATATCGCACGTTCAGATGGAAGGATTCGGGTAAGAAAGCGGCCTTGGTTGTGAGCTTTACATCGATAGGCCTTGGAACATTTCTTGGTGTGCTATCGGGACTTGTAAGACTCCGAATTTGCTCAAGATGGACAATGCGTCTCTATGGGTTGTGTTCTGGCCACAGGTACTCGGTGATTACAATTGGGTGGTTCTGCATGTCGTACTTGATTTTGTTCCTGTTTTTCTAAAACAAACGTGTGGAGGGAATAACGTACTCACCATAATTATAAAAGTGGTTTTTAATGAAATGTCATAATCAGTAGCAAATGTGGTCGAGTGGTCCACGATATATGCATGATAAGTCATCCCACAAGCAGTCGGCATTCCTAGAGCATCGTCCACAAGCGAAGCGTGCCTGAGAAGGAACAATAGATATATTTCCGCCTACCACAAAGACCAATGAACCACCTTTCACAACATCCAAGAATTACTTCCCCAATGTCACCGTCCCGCGCTTTCAACGAGCCACCCCCAGTGGCACATAGCAACGGGGAAAGGCGGCCACAGTGGACCATAGGTGAGCCGAAGGTGTTGTTCAGTAAGCTTGAACATATAAACTGAGCCTACATGCCTCGTACACCTCGTTTCTCCCCTGCATCACTGCGAAAGGCTTGACAAGGATACCTTCACCCCCCTCCTCCCCCGACCTAGTGCCACCCATATCAAACGATTAACTCGACAAATCACCCTCATCGTCATGTCCCCAACAATGACTGCAGCCAAAACAGCAGAGTTCGCGAGACTCTTCGATCTCTTCGATCGCCTTGCTACCAGGCGCTCGCGATCAGCCATAGGCGACAGCACAAATGCCATGGAAGAAGACATTTCAGGAATACCTGATGACTTCGCGCCTGTGATGAGGAACTTCACTGCCCTCCTCGCAACACGCGCTCTACGCGACCAAGGACGGCGCCGTAAGCTCGAAGACGGTGAGAAGAGAAAACCATTCGTCAGGCCGCGCAGAAACACGCTAGCCGCTACGCCGTCGACGGTGGCAGACGCGTCTATTACGGAGGTGGAGGAAGATGAATTGGAAGACGATGATGATATGACGATACCAGCGTTCCCTCTGGGTCAGCGTTACCCATTTACGTTTAAATTGATGTTGCATAAGTTATACGGCTTGGAAGAGTGGGCAGAAAAGGTGAAAGGCGTCGTAGAGGCCTCTAAGGCTCAGTTCCTGTCATTAGCAGAGAGGACTGAGAAGGTGGGAAGCCAGAAGGAAGGGGACAACACCATTCGCCAAAACGCAAGACGCGTCACCCGTGCACGTAGCCATTCAGTGCTCACTTCCAAGACCAAAAACTCACCTCTAGCTGTCGAACGGATGCAATCACAAAAACAAAAAGATAGCCAAGGAAGTTTTCGAGTGCTCAAGAAGAGGTGTGTAGGGAGAAGAAAATCAGTCAATGGTCCGATGATTGGGGGAGGATGGGTGTATGATGCGGCGATCGCGTCTGTTGAACTGAATAGACCTCGACTGGGCAGCGAAATTCCGACTGCGCCGATGACGAATGTCAGTAACATTCATGAAACGCGTTCGCGCCATCAATCTCTGGCAGCCTTGGAAGGAATTAGTGCCCGAGATGCGGCGAGAAAGAGGGTCAACTTTGTGATTCCGGACTCGGACTTGGGTGGACTGGGAGATAAAGATGTCGTGGAACGAACCAAACCTACATCTGCCTGGCGGTGGAATCTCCCTCGAGAACATGCGAAGTCTCCGATCATGGAAGATATCATATTGAAGAGAAGAGCGTTGAGTGCCGCGAATTCGAGTGGGTCTGAACCTGCCATAACGCTAAAGATGAAGCGCCCGTTGCCATCTTGACCACAGCCGAGCATTCTACGTAAGTCACTTTCGCAATCACTTTTTTCTCAGCGAAATTCCAACTGCCTTCTCCAGTGTACGTTGCAATGACTCAGATGGATTGGCTCGAGATTTTCATCAGTGTTTTCTTTCTCTGGTACATTGTCAAAAACCTGACATTCGTAAGAATTGATTCACGCACCATTTTGTAATTTTATTCATATGCATACATGTATTTTATGCCGGTCTTCGATGTAGACGTTTTATTCGTGAAGGTTGCAGAGAATGTCATTGTCCAATGTTCCAACAGCCGGCTTCAGGTTGCTTACTACTCACCAGGAAAATGCCGAGGAACTATTCAGCAAGACTCGGACAAGATATAGGTTGTAACCGTGACTGGTCAGGAATTCCCTTCTTGCGTAGCTGCAAAGAAGTCCTGGAATGCCAGCATCCATAGAAGATCTACCTCCCGAACTTTACAATCTCATCTTCGACCATTTACTAGCATGCCAGAGGAACACCATCTTGTCTTTATCAAGAGCTCTTCCTCGTTCACCCATTCCCATCCACCAGCTCTTTGAACACATCACCCTTAAACATGCCGATCAAGTAATCTTGCTTTATATTCGTCTCCGTGGTGGTGCGAAGGAAGCCCCTTTAGTGAAATATTTCTCACTAGAAGCTTGGACGGTGGATGCAGATACAGTCGTGAACTTGACCAATATCCTAGTCAATGTATCAGATCTTCGTCTCTGCATTGGCCCTTCCTTTTCTCCTGATCATCTCGACGACATGTTCGAACAACCAAAGGCCGCCCTGAAATCCCTTTCACTACGTTTCCGCCCTTAGTAAGCCTTTATAAATATAGTATCGCCCGTATATCTAAGACCTAGTCAACAGTGTAATGAGAGCTACATATATACAGTTCTTAAAGGTGTGCTTATTCGAGAGTTCTTCACAAGCTAAGGCTGATAAAACGAGATTCTCAGGGGGCATACTTTGATGGCATAATTGATGCTCTTTCCCACTGGCCATCAGGTGATCTCGAAACACTGTCGATCGTACAAGACCCTCACGACTCTGCCCTAGCTGCACAGCATCATTTTGCCCAACCACTTGTCTTTTTTCGACTGGACTCGCTCACCGCACTTACTTGTTCTCCGTTCCTTCGACGCCTCCCTAATCTTCGCTTGCGTATACCAGCCCGTCAACTGGTTCGGTTTATATGTATCCGTGCAGAATCCCTGCCTGCCATCAATGTGCTCGATTTATCTACCTGTAACGTGGCCGAGTCGGACTTAGAAGCCCTTCTCCTACGTTTTTCCACATTGCGACACTTGATTTTGGACATGTGTAATCTCTTGCGCAGTAGTACTGATTGGGCCGCTCTCGGTAAAATCTGTGCTCTTGCAACTGTTCAGCGGGCTAAGGAAAGGGAAAAGAAGTTGAAATCCTGGCTTGAGGTCCAAAGTATTGAAATATCTGTTGCTCAACAGTCGAATCTTGAAACAGAAAATCACCAAGCCGGCTCGCGGCCTAGGAGAGGCCGTCGTGGTTTAGCGACTGCCGCGATTTCGTTGCGAGATCCCAAAGAGCCCACACCACCAACAATTGCAAGGGCACGGAATGTCCCGAGAGTTCGTGTCTTACCATCCTCGCCTGTGCTCGAGTCAATTTCCACCACGTCCCACTTCTTGGACGATGGTACACACGATTCTATCCGTGCCGAGTTTGAAATGGGTTGGGCTGAGGGTCTTGCTCAACTTGCAGCCATCAGGACCAGGATCCATGCGTCATGGAGAAATGGGATGAGGGTAATGTATTCTGTGGACCCAACTTGTGACGAAGGCTTTGATGGACTAATAAACGTCAATGACGATGGAGATTTTTTCCCCGGACAAGGCAGTGTATTAGCCTGTAAAGTTCCTGTACTTTGTATCGCTGGCGCTGTGGCCAATGGCGCTCATGCCGAAGGTTGCGGGCACCAGATCGCCAGAACCATCTGGGACGATGGGTTAGAATGAGGTTATTGCTAATGCTATATGTTCACTTTAAAATAATCCGACGGAAATCTAAGGTCCCAGCCATCCACCAGCAGACTACATAGGATCAAAAATTATATTAGAACTATCCACCGTTCTACAATTGCCTTTATTATGCAGCGGAGTCCCGTTCCTTGAAGAAAGTCCTCAACCAAATAGCTTCCTTCTCCATATCGTCCATCGTCCTTGTTTCTCTCTTGTCATCAGCATCGACCCTCAGCCGACTATGTTTGACCTGCTCCACGCTTTGAAGGTCGCGCGGCAACGACTCCTCTGCTTCCTCTAGAGCAGGGTATATGTCATCATTCCGCCCCGAGAAGAAGTCCCCTTTGAATTTGCGGGGTAGAATATGGAAATGGACGTGAGGGATGGACTGGCCGGCTGCTTTCCCATCCTAGTGACAGAGAGTGCAATAAATCAATGAATACACTAATGAAATGATTGAATGTAAGGGAACCTGGCAAGCAACTGTGAGTGCATCGCCCGAATAGACGCGCTCTATCACAGATCCGACATCTTTGACCGATGTAATAAGAGAGGTAAGTTCGGGCGTCGTAAGCTCTGTCAGCCTTGATACAGGACGATTTGGTATAACAAGGACATCTAGTGTGATTATAGAAAAGTAACATGATGAATGAGACCGTATTTCGGTGAGGAGACGCTAGTTTACTCACGCCCTGGTACGATAGGCTTGAGGTTGACAATGGCATACGAAAGAGAGGATCGGTAAAAGACCTGACGCGTTACCTCAATTGTAGAGAATAGGATTGGTGCCCCCATTGCGGCTGTTGCAGGCTGCAAGATATGATCAAGTTCACTGAGGCTGAGTTTGCCCACTCCAGCCATCCTTGTTTTCCGTATATGGGTTTGGCTTCACTGCCACCGAGGTCACCTGCTCTACAAAAGTGACTTTTAAACGCTTTCCTTGGTATCACGCTCTCACCTTGCTGGCCTGGCAACATTTTCTTGGACAATGTCAAGCGCGATGGAACTATTTCTTCCATATAACCTATCAAAATCGTGCCTCTCGATGGGCCAGGCCCTTAGTTTCGGTTCAACGGAGAACGCGATTCAGACTTTTGAACGATTCTTTGGTATATACATCATCTGTTGCAAATTTCAAACCTGAAACCGATTCTGGAACATGGGGCCGCTCAGTCGAAGGTACAGTGGATGCCTGGAAAGTCAGAACGAGAGACATCATCTCAGAGCGAAGGATAGGGCAGTTATCCTGGTGTCGGAACCGTGCAAACAAGGCGTACAGTTCGGCGGACTATGCTGTCTGTGTGGGAAGGATATGACTGAGTAGGTGTTATATATGTCTTTGTGCTAATATGTTGCCGGAATTGTACCAGCTATGATTATACAGGATTCTCGGATGCCTCGTGCATCCATCCAGATGACGTACTCCGCCTTTGGACCGACAGTACCGTTGAAAGAAGCCCAGAAAATAGAGAAAGAAACTGCTGATTACTTACTCAACTCACGAAAACTCTCGTTGATAGTTGATCTTGATCAGACAGCAATTCATGCGACTCTTGATTCCACTGTTGGCGAATGGATTGCCGAAGACGAAGCTTGGAAAGAAAAGAAAGTAATGAAAATGAAACCACCGGAACGGGCTGAAGAAGGCGAGGATGTTTCAGATGAGATAGCGTCAGAGTCAGAGATGGCATGAGCGCAATCCCAATTGGGAAGCTCTCAAAGTTGTCAGGAATAGTGCTTTAAGCCGAGCCAGAGAACCATGATCGATATGGATATATACAAACACAAAGGGTTACGTGCACCACTACTAAACGCAATTCACCCGCTACCGAATGTATATTCAGGTGGAAGTTATGTACCGTATAATGGTGCGAAAAGCTGAAGATTCTACGGAACAGGCGGCACACAACATACATCATCCTCGCATTGTTTTCTGGACTTACAAGGCAGTTTCCGAGAACCAAGGAAATCGCGTTCTGAACGTCTTCTGATGGGTGACCACTCAGTAAATGTTCTACGAAGATCGTCATAACTCTCATACTGAACGTTTCTTAGTTCACCGAGCACGACGTTACAATGCTTTATGACAGTATGGCAAGGGTTCCACCCTACAATATCATGCATGTGTATGGAACCAACCCCAAATCCTTCACTGTATTGATCACTGGAAGTCGAAGTCGAAGGGGTAGGTGGAGCATAATGCTGGTACAAGGAGATGTGTTGTCTCAGGCCTGCTGAGACTCGTACGCCCGGTCACTTACTATAGGATGATAATTCTCGCTTGGCTGTTATTTCATGCAGTGCTCCAGTATATACACGTACTTCTTGCCAGTTTTGAACCTTTCCATCTAATGGAACTTAATTCTGGCCTTCGTTCTAATTCAAGTTGTGATGGGAGCGAACGTGCGGCATTGAATTAGAACGGTTTGATGTCATTGGAACGGATATCTACCAAGACGGTAAACTAGCGGCGGAGAAAAATCACAAATTGACCGTGATCATTAAACATCTGAGAGTGCTAATGGGCGGCGTCACCTAGATGCACTGCCAACGGTAAAATACCCTCAACGTTGAAGGTTTTCGCCTGGCTAGTGCGTATGAACGCACAAGAAGCAAATGGTAATGGCGTTGGTACGACATGACAATATGAGGGCGAATGGATGTTTACAGGCAAGAAAGCCAACGTGTAAGTTGCATGACCGATATCTAAAAAAAGGGCATCAGAGTGTAAGGTCGTAGGAGTTGTTCATATCACATTAACATTACCTAACTTTGGAAAGTACAGCTAGCATTTGACAAAAAAATGTGGACTAGCAAAAGGCCGCAGTACTTCATAGTGTAGAAAGATATTCGGGGTGAGAATCTGTTATCTGTATCGCAAAATCAACAGTTCCTGGAAAAGAGAATAAAATAAGAGCACTTGCAGCAGAAAGGGAAAAAATGGATAGATTGGGATGAATTGACGCCCAAAACTACAAATATTAATATTGCAGCGCAGTCGTACTGCTTCAAGGGCAGCGGCAAATGAAAAAGTCTGAGGGAAACATCACAGACAAACCTGATATAGCCTGATATGAGATGTCTAAACGGACTCCAAGAGAGACGATATCTAGAAATCAGAGGGCCACATAGCAAGTACATAACCAGGCGAGTACACACACATGTGTTGCGGCAATCACGATAACAGTGTGTAGGTATAAAGACTTGCACCAAGTGCGCGATGGCACAAATAAGTTCCGGGACTTGATCAGAAACGGCGACCAGATTGATAAGGACTGACTCAGGACTTCAATTTGAAACCGGATCATCGTGCAGCTTCTTCATGCAAGAGGTGAATTTCCCTGGCCACCAGCGCGAGGGCCGCATGTGATGTACTTCTACAAGCGCTACAAAGAGTTAACCGGACAGACGGACAACACCCGACTAACATGGGTACAGTCATAAACCGATGTGCCGCTATAACCGCTGCCCCTAAAGCATGTTTGTGGCTGATATTTGCGGGTGGAGTCATCGTACCAATGAATGCATTTGCCATCGATCATAACTTTGTGCCCGCGGGTTGTCTTCTGTGCACGGAATGCAGCTAGTAACCGCCGTACCAATGCTGAGAGGATAACATGTCGACGGGAGTGTGAACAGGCGTATGAAAGCCGGAAACAAGTGGCACTATACAGCCCAGAGCACCAGACTGTAAATTACACAAGTCAGTTAATTATGACGACATGGTTTTTCGAATAAGTCAATACAGTTACCTGAACTGAATCACAGCGCTCATACGCTGGGAAGGGTTGGCCTCAGGGGATTGACCCATGAGGCTACTGGCGATCATGAGACTAAGCTAGATTTGGGAATTCTGTAAAAAGGACTGTGCTGCCAGTGCTATGGGGTGTATACCATAGCTACTAGTATTCGACGACAGGTTAAAAGTCCGTGGAGATAGATCCTATACTGAAAAGCTCATCGTTGATCACAGTGGTGTTCGAAAAGTTGTTTGTGGTTGTCTAATCGTAAGGGCCTTGATAAATATCAGTAAACAGGCGCTTCCAATCGGATAGCCATATGTACCTACCACAACGGATATCGGGGCCGAAATAAATAAGGGGTAAAACAATTGGCACTTTACAAGCGCATATCCAAATGAGCATATACGCCACCATTTCCAAGCAAATATAGAATCCCCTTGTAGAGGTCGCTGCTCACTCTGCAAAGTTACGGCGTGAAGAAAATTTTATCCTGTTATACAAGAAAGGACCGGAAGGTTAAGTACTAAATGGGACTCGAAACGACACCTAGTTACTACTCGTTTATTGAATTTCTGTCCCCAGCCTTTTCTGATCATAGTTTAGCCTCTAGTGGCGTGCCGGACATAAGTGGCCCATGGATATCCCGGCGTTGACAACGAGGGCAATCATACCACGACGCACATACAAGCTTTCTGTTCAACACTCCATCTTTCTGGGCTTTGCCGTAACCGTGCTATCGAATACCCATGTACCTGACTGATCTGGTATGGATGGTATACGCGAGAGAACTGCGACAGAGCAGAATGATGGCATTGGCTAGAACCTGCGGCGATCATAAGCGTAATGATGCGACAACGTGCGACGTACCACCTGTGACCGTCGGAAAGTAGCATTTAATTTCATGAAGATATGTTTTAATTTTCAATGATTTTTTGCGTTGTAGCAGGTCACGGTTCTTCGGGAATTGAGGTTCGTAGGGTGATAATATAGAAGAATGGGTATGCCTGAATTGCTTTGTGCACGACTATACGTTCCAGTGGCACAAAAGTCGCAGATAGTTGGAATGTCCCACTGGTCCATATGACCAACGACCGCACATGCGGACCGTGTATTACGCTCTGGGTGAAGACATAAATACAGAAGTAATCTGTAGAGATAAGGATAAGCGATTGTAATAAGCGATGACACGCTGGTCGTGATAGAACTTGGACTCTCAGCGATATGAACGGTACAGTTTTAGAAGAGGTCGGACAAAAGGGCTTCATTTATCTGGCAGGATACACTTGTTGAAGACAAATGGCCATGGGGGTCAGGATACTGCTGGATCATAATAGCAAACTTGAGGTTGGCGCAATTACTGGGCCGAAGATACATTTATCGTGACGTACATGAGTAGGCGAGGTCAGCTTGCTAAGGAAATCTCTGCCATGCAGCAGAACTCCGTATGGAAGAAAGGACTAGCCGTAAGATGGCTTCAGCGTTGCTAATGGTCGAAGGTTGCCCAACTGAGGCATTCAGCTGAACAGTGGTGTGTGAAGTCCACAGAGCAGTATTAGGGATGTCGTAAAGACGAATGTATTCTTGCTCAGACAGCTAAATGCTTGGCTGAACCATGTGGCCGAACAGTAGCACTGAGTGAACACAATATCGATGATGCCGGCCTGCTTGGTAGTAGCGTGCATGTGGCACGCACTGGACCAATAGCGACGGGAAAGTGACTGTTATAGATCTGATAATCGCCGCCGCCGCCAAGGGTGGTGGTGAAGAAGAGAATCAAATGACAAAAGCAGATAGACAGAATCCTTGCGAGTGCAGGACGACACCTGGCTGCATGCTTGATACCGCGCGATAACAAGCCTTTATCTGATTTGCAGCTCCGCTATTCTCTTCCTTGTTTGCTACGAGCAAGTGGGTTCCAGAAGAAGATCGAGTAAGTATAGCAGTGTTCTGGTGTTCTGCTCGGAGACTTGGAGTGGTTTCGAGTGGAACATGCCGTCTTCGAAAGAGGCTAGACTTCAAACCCAGCGGCTTCACCAGGCATTCTGAGTGGCTGCCGTAGCGATGCCGTACGGCTGAAGGAAGAACAGATAGCCGTAGTGGTCAAACCTTGACATAAATGTCTGATCAATCCGGGGCATTTTTCTTCCAGGATGACAATTCTCAAGTCTTCGGCTGACTGTCCGATGGTATATATATCAAAGAAGGTGCGGGTACCCAATATCGATATTTCTCTGGTCCAAGTCGACCATGACTGACATCGAGGAAGGTGGTACCAGGTTCAACTCTCTCAATAGCATAGTTAGACCACCAGGCCTCCCGGGCCCGGATCAGCTCAAACCGCCTTCTTCAAGGAACAGCAACGACGAACATGACGGAGCTACAACTCTCAGGCATGAATTTTCCACAGCAAATATATCTCCCAGTGACAAGGACGAATCGAACGTGGAAAAGTCAGTCGTTATGGCTGACACCGACGTCGACGCATTTTATGTGAGTAAAACGCGTGTTCGCAGTCGCAAGGCTCGCTAATGCGCCTTCAGGTTGAGTTTGACGAGAAAGACCCTCGCGATCCAGTCAATTTCTCCAGATCTAGGAGGTGGGCCATTACAATCACCGCCTGTGCATTTACTGGTATTGTCGGTATGTTATTCGTCTATCCAAGGGTAGCTTGGAAAGATCTTAACACAGCCCTACGTTATCTTGACCAGCCGCTTCCTCGTCTTCGTATACAATGGGATATAATTCCATGATCCCTGAACTCAATTGCACGGAGTTCCAAGCAACGATAGGTCTCAGCGTGTATCCTCTCGGCTTCGGTGTCATCCCTCTCTTCACCTCGTCGTTCAGCGAAGAATTTGGGAGACAGCCACTTTATATCGTCTGCTCGATGATATTTTTTCTCACCCAAGTGATGCTTGCATTGTAGGTTTTCCAAGCAACTGGACGCATAAGCGCTCATTATATATAGAGCTCCGAATATTCAAACTGTCATCGTCGCTCGTGCCCTCGGAGGTGCTTTTGGCTCTACGGGAGCTACACTAGTCGGAGGCACAGTTGCTGACATTTGGCGACCGCACGAGTTGAGTTCCGCAGTGCTTCCCGCATTGTGTTCATGTCGCTTATCACCCTTCCGCTATAGACGGGGCCTGCCTATGTCCATCTTTGCTTTCGCGGCGGTAGCTTGCACTGGTCTTGGACCCGTGATTGCCGGATGGATCGAGGCGAATCCCCACCTACGATGGAGATGGATACAATGGATACATGCAATGTAACACGTTTCTTCTCTGTATGTGTTAGAGGCCTCATGAATTCTCACAGATTTACTGGCTCTTATTTCATTGCGGTATTGCTGGTAATGAGAGAGACTCGTCCAGCTATAATATTGGCACGTTTGGCACGGAAGATTCGTAAAGAAAAGGGGGACAATAGATATCGGGCCCGCGTGGAGGAGGAGAAACGAAGTCTACTGGTGATGATTATGGTTTCCTGCACGCGCCCACTTCGTGGGTCAATTCAGTTTTCGTGAATCTGCTCTTGTTAGTGACACATCTTTTCAGACTTTCTCCTTACAGAACCCACAGTTGTTTGCTTCAGCGTATGTGTTTTGATCTTCTGGAAAACAAAGTAAGCTGATCTGCCTATAGCTCTGGGTTGGCTTTGCCTGGGGAGTGCTTTTTTGTATGATACAGTATGTGATGATTTATTGCTACCAGAGAAAGAAAATCCTACTTATCTCTACATGCAGGTCCATATCTCCTGTTTATCAGTCCCTTTATAATTTTGGAGTTGGAGAGACAGGAACTGTGTTCCTTACTTTGGTGTAAGTGTTCCTTTCGCGTTCCCATTTCAAATTGCGGCCTCATAACTCGTTGTTCAGTATTGGTAGCTTGCTCGGTTTCTTCGCCAACATGTATCAAGAAAAACTGTACCAGTATGTGTGGCTTATATCACAACGAGATTTTGCCTTAATGAAGTAAATTCGTAGAAAACACGTTGCTAGAAAGGGGCCAGAAGCTCGTCTATACCTTGCTTGTATTGCAGCACTCCTTTTCCCGAGTGGAATGTTTATTTATGCCTGGACGGCCTTTCCGAACATACCTTGGATCGCTCCTGTAGTTGGGCTGACTGTTTGTATTGCGCTCTTTTATCAAAACGAAAATTGATTTACTCACTTAAGATGCAATAGATATTCATGTTCGCTGCATACGTGGTGTATGGGGTTGTTTTCACATATCTCGCAGACTGGTACGTTTGCATATCGTGATGTGTATACCTCGTTTAACTTACCATTTCCGTCAAAGCTACGGCATGTACGCCTCATCAGCATTAGCAGGCCAAAGTCTTTGTCGTAAGTGTACTTTCCCAGTGATCGAAATGTATGAAGGACTGATAACACTATTTTAAATTTCAGGTAACGTTGCAGCCACCGCATTTCCTCTCTTCACAGACCAGATGTTCAATCGGCTGACTTACAAATGGGCTAATACGCTATTCGCTGTGATTGCAACAGTGATGATACCGATACCATATGTGAGCTCTCCACACCCTGGGAAGGCCCTCATATCCATATGTCTATATACATACTTACTACATACCATCTCTTTTCCTCGCCGCAGATCCTCTTTTTCTATGGATCCTCTATTCGTCAGCGTAGCGCTGTTGCCCGAAAAATCCAAGAAGTAGAAGCAAAACGAGATGCCCAGGACGGCAAGTGATAGAACAACTCGAGCTAAATGTAATCTCCGCACGGCCTTGGAATTTGAAGTATCTGGTAAGGTTCGAGATAAGGGCGGGTTTCCGGGCTCTCCCTCTGTACCATGCGGTACTGCTATCAGAAGATGGAATGTCATCTGAAATAACACAATATGTTTCCCACATTGGAATCTGCGCCCATAGTAATCCTGTTTAATGGAGTGGACACTCAACGCTATATCTAAAGTGATCCGGATGTAATTCATCGTTCATACTGAGTACTGTATAATGTAGCTTTATATCAGAGCTTGGAATAGAACTGGGGATAGACGCAATGGTAAAACACATACAACAAATGTAGACTTTGCAATGTGATCAATATGAAATGGCAAAACGCTTTCGGTGACTGGGGTGACGAAAATAGATATCGCATCTCTTTGAATGAAATTGTACATGACGAACCGAGGCATCATCATTATAGAAATAGTTACTATGTAGTTCTTCGGATGATGTTTGAAATCTCCGCGCGGACCTGAGATCATAACCAAACAACAACTCATAAGCATTACCTCCTTCCCAGCCCGCTCATTTGCCACGCTGCCGATTCTCTTACAAACCTGAATCTTCCAGCCATCCAGAGGGTATAATCCCTTATCGAACCTAAGCTCAAAGGGCACCACCACATGAACTTGTTCCATGTAGGATTTCTCGGAAGCCCATAGAACCCAAGGATATTTTTCGTCATCGCGATAACCTCGAGAGCAGTTGCGTGGCGAGAGTCGGCAAGGTCCCGCAAAATATGGTCATCGGTGGGAGGAGAGGTTTGGGAGGCCTCTATATGTGCGCTCATGGCTTCTCCCATGGCTACAGCATCCCTCAAGCCGAGGTTCATACCTTGCCCGCCTGCGGGGGAGTGGATATGGGCTGCATCGCCCACAAGAAGGATTCCACCTCCCCCTTTGGCATCCATGTCCGTATCGGAGCCTAGGCGCTTGAAGAAGGTGTCGGCGATAGCAGAATGTGTCCTAAACCGTGTCGACCACAAGACCTCTGATATTTCGAAGGAAGAAGCTGCCTTTAATGGCTTCGGACCGAATTTATCCAGGATATTCTGGAGGTATTCTTTTGGTGGTGCATGTGGAGGAGTACCCATCTCGAGAGGCACGCCACATGAGATGCGATATAGCATGCCTTTCACCTCATCAATTTCTCTTGGGATAGGAGATATCATGAAAAAAGTGTCTAGTGACATGACGGAAACTGTGTGGTTATCAGGGACAAGAGATGTGTCGGTAAGGTAGATGTCGGCTATGACCATTTGCGAGAGCATGTTGGTACTACTGAGGTCACGGTCTAGTTCATTAGGGTCGGCGAAACCAATGCCTGATATAGTGCGCACCTGTAAGGTGTTCGTTAGGGGATATGATGTTGTTCGTGGACTGCAGGGAAAAACTGCTTACTGCCGATCGTGCCCCATCCGCCCCAATAACATATCTGGCTTTGATTACTCTACCATCTTCGAACGAAACATCCGTAACATCGTTTTCCTGTTTATTACGCTGCATGCCGATGACCTTGTATGGCCGAATGACAGAAACGCCAAAACTTTCAAGCTTCTCTTCGAGTACGCGTTCCGTGGTGGTTTGCGATATAATTAACACATGAGGATAGGGGGTGTACTTTGACAGAGATGTGAAATCGGCGTAGAACAAGTCTGAATTAGAGCTTCGGTTGCGAAATGAAAGCCCGTTGGATTTCCAACCGCTTTCAACCATAGTTTCCGCACAACCAATGGTATCCAAAGCCTGGAACTGATCAGGTACAAGATTAAACCAGTGTTAGGGAAACTTACCTCAAGAGTAGCAGACTGGATCACTAAAGCGCGGGAAGTGTTTTGGCCTTGGAGGACCGTATCTACAATGACAAAATCGCGACACCCGTGATGTATCAAAGAAAGAGCTGTTACGATTCCCGATGGGCCGGCTCCAACAATAAGAACAGTTGTGCTTTCAGGCAAAGACATGATGATTTAAGAAAACGAGGATTGATTGTTAGTGAGGCATTTGGTAGATGGGAGGGAGGTGTTTATATAAGTGCTTTGACCCTACGACAGTGAATTAGACTGTAACCTGAGGAAGGCAGTGTACGAATGGAGCGGGCACTTGACATTCAAAAGTGTAAACCAGTTGATCTGACTACTCATTGAAATGTCACTAGAGAATGGCGACGTATTCACTTGAGGATCGGAAGAGGGAAAGCTTGCACGCGATTCGAACGGCGCGAAAGAATAGCACTATGCCAGAAATGTTAGCAGCCACAAGAATCCATCTTGACAAATCGATATGACGAAATGATAAGCCTGTCCGACGTTGACCGCAGCTTTGATAGAATACCGTACATACAGTAAGTGGCCATATTTGCTCTTCCTAATCCACTATCACACAGCCTCGTCTCCGCCATGAATTTGGTGCGCGGGCTGCGGAAGGAGTTGCTGTTGAGTAACTATGCACGTATAATTCACTCGACGGACGCTCCTTTGTTGTGTTAGCTGCTAGGAGTAGTGGGTTGTCTTTCAAAATGGGCCGTATCCGAGCTGAGCGCGAGCACCTGAATACTGAGATGTGGTTAAGTAAGTGATGACCGACGCAGTGTACTAACACCACACGAAATGCAAAAAGAGACTCGGACTGAGATTTGAGCGTGGAAGAGCGGACGACCAGAATGCCACGACTGTCGGTCTGAGAGGTCCCAGATCCATACCCGTGAGTCACGATAGCTGGAGTCATTTGGATTAGAGGCGTTTGCCAAACAACGATCAAAAAGTCGCTATGTCGGATAACCAAATACAATGTTGATACAGTCAAAGGCCGTGGGAACGATACAGCCACACAACGATGGTTACTGTGGTTTGCCACCAAACCATACCACAATTGACACAGGCAGTCTGTTTCCGAGATTTTCACTCATGGTTGCGAGGGCACATGATTGTTGTACCAATGCAAGCAGCGTCTAAAGTTTGGGGGAGTGTTTCTACTGTAACTTATGATTCACTCTTTCTGGGATCATACTCACTCAATTCACACAGTACTGAATTTAACCTTTACTCTATTTGATGGTATGTAAAGTGTTTGTGATTATATAAGACAATCTAATCACAAAATCTGGACTTATCTATTGGCAATTACATAGTACTAGTTATCTTATCAGTATAATACTTATCTAATCTATACTAGTACATTACACCCTCCCTATCATATCTATGCTACAGGCCAGAGATCTGAGCCTTCCAAAGCACCAAATTCCCCAAGTCTGAACTCCCAAAGCTTTGGACATCTCAGATCAGTGTCCCTCATCCAGGTTTTCTATGTGACTTTGAAGCTGTACAGTTTGGGGATGGACTCAATTGACTGTGTCATACCCCAATGATGTATCATTGTATTACTATATATAGACAACCCCATGTTTTGCAGTGATAAGATTGCCAAGATACTTAGAGAATTGCATGGATATAATTCAAGCCTCAGATAAAAAATAGCAGAAAGAGATAACACAGATAACCGTATATCAATTCAACATCATATATAGCTAGTAGTAGTACATGGAATAAGAAAAGCAGTATCTAAAATAAAGTATGAGATGATTCTTGAAATATTCTGTTACCACGCTGTTAATGATGAGAACTGTTGTTGAAAAACCACACACAAAACAAACTAACACTCAATTCTCCCAGGTTCCATGGAACTTGTGTATGGGTTTTGCCTCCTAGAATGGTGGGTGATCCGGTTGTTTGTGGGGTGGTATGTATAACAATCCTTCAAAGTAAAACCCAGAAATGTATGGTGTAAGGACCATTTTATTATTTCTTTATCTTTGCTATGTCTTGGTTTTCGAACACTTTTCCCATTACGCCTCTGGCTCTAGGGCTAGAGGTATTGTTTGCAGTTTTACTTCTCATAGCCCTCACAGGCTTTCTTAACCATCACTACCATTTTATATCACAGATCAGAGACTGGGCATCGCTCCCAGCCAGCCAGCACACTGGGTAGGGACTGGTAGTAGGCATTTCGCCAACCAGCTCCAAACCCCAGTAAAGCCTGGTAATACTAATAACACCTTATCTAGAATCGTACCTCATCATGAGGATACGGTTCCTGACCACGCGTGACAATCTTCCATTATTAGTACAAGTCTCTCACCTGCTGATTAATCAAGTCAGAAGTCGTACGATAGTTACTCTCCCTTTTTTCTTATTGGTTGATTAATTCCTCAGACCACTTTTCGTATATTCTCTTTTCGGTCTGAGGAACGGACAGTTCCCTATATAAAGCCGTACCTATTCATGTATAGCTCCTTAGCTTTCTATTACTGAATTTACCCGCTTTACTCCTAAACAAGAACCTTTGAAGCTTACCTCTCAAAGTCCTCTACTTGCTATATTTGCTAGCGTCTGTCGACCTCAAGCTCATCGAACCCTTACTCCCTGCAAGTGCAGAAGGAGATAGGTTTAGTTTTTGTTATAGTTTATCGTTGCCTCACATATGGGTGTGGGTTTTGAGGAGGAGGGATAGTTTAATTATAGAAGGTAAGGGTTTTATGACGAGTATGGACAAGCACTACCTTGCTAATGGTAGCACAAGGTAGGTTTGAGAACAATGAGGTGATGAGGTGACAAGGTTTCCAGTGATAACAGGCTCCTGACACACAGACTGTAGTGCTCAGAATGCCTCTAATTGAAAGGGATGACAATGACTTTGAAAGTGACAAGTGATGATGACAGCAGTTGACAGTGGTAGCAGTGGGAAGTGTTGTGACCACACTGGATCACAAGTAGCAGTAAACAGTAGACTTGAGATTAGAGAAGAAGTCTGGATTAAAATTCTTGTTCTTATTTTACAAGGTAAAATACAGGGGTTTATATAGTAAAAGAAAGGTAGGCTATGCACAGTATAGCTGTGCAAAAAGAATGAGAAAGAACATGAAGGAAGGAATGTATGCTGACGAATCCTGCGTAGGTAGTACAGGATAAGATTGTCAAAAAAAGGAAAAGAAAGAGATAGAACAATGAATGCTGTGAGTAATGTCACAGGTTTGTACAGCGATAAAATAAAGTCCAATAGCAGAAAGAGAGCAAGAAAATCATGATGTCATGTGAAGATGTAGTAAAAAAAGGGAAAGGCAAAACAATATTAGTATCAACACAGTTCCTTTATTGTCAGCCAGGCATTCTAAGATAATATGTGTCCATAAAAATGATTCAAAATATCAA